CGTCTACACCCATCCAATGATCGCCACATTCCCACACGTTCGTTTTCCGGGCTTTCCGAGCATTTTCTTGGCGTAACCGGTTGGGGGTTATCGATTAGGATGGCGTAATCGGTTAGCCCTACGGTTTTTTGAAGTTTGTAGCTGCGCGTTGGCTTAACTGCCCGCCAGCTAAATCTTTGGGCTCGATGTCGCGCATTTCGATCACTATCTTCATTGCGTAACCGGTGGTGCTCACCGATTTACAAGGCGTAATCGATTGCCCATATAGATTGTTGTAGTTTCGAGCCGGAATTGGTTGAAATGACTGCCGGTTAGGTCTTTTCCCACCCTTTCGCGAGCTGGGATCCATATTTTCATAGCGTAATCGGTATTACCTAGCTATTTTTGGGGCAAGCCAGCAGAGACAATTTGATTATAATTCTAGGCGGACACCTCTCGTGGGTATTCCTCAGCCGGGACGGCGATGCGGGCAGGGCCAGCTGGGAATGCATACGGTCTGGGGACACCGATGCATTTTATGAGCAAGACTGGAGTACCGCCTCCTGGAATAGGTGAGAGAGACAGGGAGAGAGAGGGAGAGAGTGAGAGAGAGAGGGAGAGAGTGAGAGTGAGAAAGCGAGAGTGGGAAAGAGTGATCGAGAGTGAGAGAGAGAAATAGAGAGAGCGAGAGAGAGAGAGAGAGTGAGGGAAAGTGAGGGAGAGTGAGAGAGAGCGAGAGAGACAGAGAGAGAGAACACAAATTCCAGGAACCCACGATCTGTGCTACATGTGTCATGGCCGTGGTGTCAGCCAGTGTAGCCAATGCAAGGGGACCGGCAAAAAAGTACGGCAATTTTCGAAGTTAAAGGCATCTTGAAGCCAAAATAACCCAAACCTCCCCACCGGCGGCCCAAAGGGCCGGGGGGGAGCAGAGAGGAACACCCAAAAAATTTTTTTTCCCCCCCCAACCCCCCCCCCCGTTGTCGTTTCGACTTGCCAGTCCCTTTAAAACAGTTTAAACTGTTTTAGGTGTGCTCGAAATGTGGGGGCAGCGGCGCCGTGCGGTCGTATACGAAAATGAAAGTGTTTTTGTAAGTTGATTTTGAGCAAAAATCATTCAAAAATTGGTTCAGCAAAACGGAGACCTCAGAATTTTTCACGGAGGCCCCGATTCCCGAGAAATTCCTGATGTCGGTCAATGGAATCGAGATATTTGGGGAGGAGAAGCCGTATGTAAGTCAATGGGAAGGGGGGGCAGGCTAGCAGAGGCTATTTAAAATATTAAATGGGAATTTACAAAAAATAAAAAAATATGGGGCAAAGGGAAAAAAAAAAAAAAAAAAAATTTTTATTAAAAAATATAAAAAAAAAGGAAGGGAGCTGGAAACGTTGAAGCGGCTGTGATAGCCCTTTTTTTCAGGTGATCCCGATCACGTCGCACCCGATGAAGGCGATCAACGACGCGAGTCGCGCCATTTGTGCCGATCATTTGCAGAAATGCTTGGGGAAATCGAGGGTGATACAGGTGGGTTGGGGGGATTAACGGGGGCCATTTCGGGAATCGATTACGTTATGAAAGTGCCTATTGGCAGGCAGCTAAGAGATTGCGGCCAGGCAGACTAGCAAAGACCATTTCGGGAACCGATTACGGCGTGTAAAGGTGATCTGGCTGTCAGCTGGACGAGTCGCAATGAAAAGCCGGCTAGCAGCGACCGTTTGGAGGATTCGATTACGTCATCAAATTGCAGCCTGACAGGCAGTTAGAAGATTAGAGAGTCTAGGCAGGCTAGCAGAGACTATTTTGAAATCGATTATGCTAGGAAATGCAGACCGGATGAGACGAAAAATGGGCTAGAAAAACCATTTAAAAAATGATTACGGCATGAAATGACGCGGTTAGGCGGGCCAGCCGGGAGAATTTAGGGATCGCTTACGCTAGGAAATGCTCACCCGGATGCCAGTTAGCAAAATGACAACACAAAAAAGGCCAGCAAGCCCCTTTACAAACCGATTACGCGATGATATTTCAGCAGCGTCACTGGGTGCTGGCCATTCCATGGGCCGAGGTATTCTACAGTATCGGCGCCGAGAAGGGCTCATTCTTCGTGTACGGTAGGGAGAGGGCGTGCTATTTCCCGAAATACTCCTCCAAATGCTCCATCTTATAGTGCCAACAACTTTCATCGCGAAACCAATTTTCCGGAATTTGTTCAATTGTGATTTTTTCTGGTAATTTTCGCCAATTTCGTGCTTTTTGCCCTGATTTTTATGGCGTAACCGATTCCGCGAGGCGCCTATCGATTTTTGCGCTTTTAAAGGGACCGGCAAGGCAAGGCAGAATGGCTTTCCTGCCCCATTAACTTGCCGTTCCGCAAGGCTCCTATCAACACCTCAGAACGCCATGAGGTGCCGCGCGGAATCCGACGATTTTTGTGCCAATTTTGATGCCAATATTGCCTGAATTTACCGTAATCTTTGGTAGCATTACCGTAGTCTCGCCATTTTCCTCCCCAGATTCGAG